GGACTCTGCCTGGCATTCAACAGCAACAGGCTCCCATTGCCTTCAACAGGCAGTCTGGTAAGTAATTCTGACACTGTGTCATTGCCCAGGTAATTCTTTAAATTGTGTCCACGAAAAATTATAGAAATGTGTGGTGTGAAAGTATATAATTTGAGACTGTATTCTGGCATATGTGTGAACAGGGGTCTTTGGTTTTAAGCTCGTGAAAATGAATAAAACGAGCATATTACTAATAGAGTATTGTCAAAAATGAAATAAAAGCGATTTTACTGTGATATACAATGTCCACCCTGATTATGCCTGACTTCTTTTGAATGTTCATCATACTTCACCAGTTAAAATCTCAGTGTTTTTTTTTTTTTTTTTGGACAGGATTTTCAGTCCCCTCCTGCTATGTAGAAATTGGATATGGAATCTAGAGCAAGTTGACTGATTATGCAGGTTGTGGAAAGTAAAGCAAACTAGATATAGTGGGCTGACAAGTACATAACATAGGGAAAAGGGTTCTTACTAGTAAAAGTATTCTTACTTGGTTTCTCCTGGTGGTAGTAGATATTATGGTATAGTAGGCAGACACATCATGGTCTTAAGAAAACTGTGTTGCAAATACTCTGTACGTGCTGTGTTGTCTGAACACTTCCCATACTGAGTTAATATTAGGTGTCGGGCATTAAGTTGATCCTGTTGTGGAATCTGCTTCTCTGGAGAGATTTCACCTGTACACGATGCTGTACTAGGTGTCCCTGCTTGTGCAGGAGATTGGACTAGATGATCTCTAGAGGTCCCCTCTAATCTCAGTTAGCCTGTGATTTTGTGATTCTTGATAATATTGGCTTTAATGATGCAGACTGGTCACTCCAATGCGCATACTTTTGCTACAAAGTGGAGGGTTTGTTCTTGGGATGACATTATTTTAATATGCTTCATTATTTTTGACAGTAGAACACAGAAGTACTGCTTGTCTAAAAGGAGTAGAATGCTGGAAAGCAGTGATTTTTGTGTACTTAGAAATGCTTTGTATCTTAAGTTTCTTTCCTCTGTCAAATTGCTGGTATTGGGTTACATGCAGTAAGTGGTCCTGTAACTGGGCCAGGGCCAGCTCCAGGAATTCCTGGACATATATCTGCCATTATCCCTAAAACTTGGGCTGAAGCTAGAGGGGAGTATAATGCTAATTTTGTATTATACTTAGAGTTATGGATAAACTGTGTGGGTAGGGATTGGGAAAGAAAGAAGCAGGGAGAAGGATTGGGAAGTAAAAAGGCATAGAGGAGAAATAGTGTGACTTAAATATCAAGGAGTTTCTTACCATTTATTCAGCCATAAGCGACTTGACCAGATGAAATTATTGCAGCTGCTATGCAGCCTGAACATGCAGCACCTCTCCACAATCAGAGTGAAATGATCGTTGGCTGAGACACATATGTTATGTCCTGAGCATGCTTAATTCGGCAAGCTTGCCTTTCTACTGTATTTTTACTGTAAATAAATTTGCATAGCCTGGTAGAATGAGACTAGTTTTTATTGTCTTGCCTTTGAAAGCACAGTGTAGTCTTTGAGGTGTAATAAACAGCGTAACTTTTTTTTCTTCCTTTAATATTTTTGAATCAGATCATCCACATGTGGATTTACAAGTTAATATTGTTATTGAAAGGAAATCGAAGTTTCTAACACATTTTTGTTTGAAAGTTTTTCTTTAGAGCCATTTAAAAGTAGATACAGTATCACCAGCTTGCAGATAGCACAAATCCCTCATACTGTAAAGATCTTGTACTGTATTAATGTTTGGGAGTAACACAGTAACTGATCACTGTCATATTTGGTGTCATCAAATTCTTTGTTGTCAGCAATTTGCAACAATATAAAAAGAATAGTAGTGTGTGGTAAGTTGTGGAGTTGCATTTCTTGGAGTACTCCAACAAATGGTTAACATTTAAATAGGATAATGAGAAGGAAAAGTGTTTCTTGAGAGATTGCATGTGTGAGTTTGCTGGCCTTGGTGTCTCCTAGCTCAAATGCTGTTACTTGGAAATGCTGGCAAGAGTACAGAATTACTAGATGGATGGTTTTATCTGAATAATCCATTATGGCATAATAATACATCTGTCATTTTCAATTATAAGCAGCTTACTGCTTGGCTGTTTTCATTGCTGTTTTTAATAAGAGAATTTGTCCGTTATTGATGTATGTTTTTGCAGGTTTTATTTGGTGTATTTTTTAAAAGACTATGCTGATATCTTTATTTTTCTTTTGTTTTGAACTTTTTCTTCATAATGTTGGTCTTGTAGGACAATCTGAATGATTTCTGGAAAAATAGGACAACACAGTCTTTTGGTGGGCTTTCTTTTCCTTTTTTTAATAATATGAAATGGTGCTAAACAGATTTCAAAGTTTGTGCTTGTGGTTCCTTTTCTGTAGTTCATTGCAGATGTGTTAATGACAAATGATGGTCTCTGGACAGCATGAATCTTTCGACCTAGATTTCAGGATGTTGGATTTGAAGTAAAGTTGTAAAAAAGAACGCAGGCATGCTTTGTAGTTGTTTTTCTAATATTTACTTATTGCGACTGCATAGACGATTAAATGATATCTTTATTTTGCAATGTCTTTTTTTGTTTTCCACAACAGTTTTTCTCTGTATCTGTGTGCATTGGGTGCCTTGTTGACTTAATAGGATACTGAAATCTGTGACCCTTGGTATCTGTAGCTGATGGATGCTATAATCATGTCAACTGAGGAGCTAATTTATTTTCAAACTGATTAGAATCTTCCAAGATACATGAGCAATCAAATGCCTGGTATTTGAAACATTTAAATGCGATTAATTAGCAGTTGGGGACAAAAGAGGCTATTCATATTTAACAGGTACTTTTAAGTACCATCATAAGATTTTAATATGACTGTCTGGTTCTCACAGAGCTCTAGAGGCAGAGATATTCATGCTTGCAGTGAGGTTGTGATTATAGATAGATTCTTTTAAGTTTTAAGCAAAGTTTAAGCTCTCCATGAAAAATGTCAGTAATTAAAAGTTTAATGTGTTTCTGGATGGCTTCCTGCACTATTTCAGTGTGTTTTTTTAATAGTGAAGTCTATCTTGTCTTTTTTTTTTTTTCTCCCCTCCTCTGGTAATTTTGAATGTTTGTCTTAGCTTCATGTTCTGTCTTGAAAAGCCGCCTCGAACGACTTGCTGTGTTTCATATTTCATGTTACGAAACCAGTGTTGTTTTTCTGGTGCAGGCCAAGGCGCGGACATGAGCGTTCCCAGCGCGCCACAGAAACTCGCCGCGCCGCCTCCCAGCGGGAGGCCTTCTCCTGCTCCCCCTGCCGCACAGCCCACGGCTGCCATGCCTGGCCCTTCTGTGCCGCAGCCACCACCTGGACAACCTTCACCCATCGTGCAGCTGCAGCAGAAGCAGAATCGCATCAGTCCTATCCAGAAGCCACAAGGACTGGATCCAGTTGAAATACTCCAAGAGCGTGAATATAGGTAAAAGGAAAAAATAAAAAGGTTCAAATGCTTATGAATTGTTACTTCTTACTTTCTCCACGATACTCCGTGCAGTCAAAAGTGATATTGAAATGGCCGTAGTTCAGTGTTTCCAGAAAGAGACAATGTTAAAAACAAAAACAGAAACCTCTACCTGTAAACTATGATTTAATTCCAGACCAAGTTATGAACTGGCAGAGTACATTGGCAGTGTATTTGCAAACAGCCTTAAGTTTAGAACAGGTTAAAGGATTTTGCTGGATTAATGTCTTACTTGGATAAAAATCAGGAAACCATAATCCTTTTAACGTACACAGAAACCACTTTAGTGCAGAAATCTTTCAAAATGATGAACACAAAGGGTAGTAAGAAGGGAAGACTGGAAGCCCAAAGACTGATGAGCTGACAACCAATGTGAAGACAGGATTTAATCATTCTTTTTCTATGAAGTTGTTCTTCCTTTTAAGATGCAGTAGGGAACGTAAGTGGTATGGACTTTGGTAACATACAAAGTGTTCTAGGATCTAGCGCCATGTCCAGAGTCCAGACCATAATCCATGTAAAGCTCTCACACTTTTGTCAGATCATCCTTAAGTGATTTCATGGCGTACGGTTGTGGTCCTTCAGTTTGTTGCAGTGTGTTTATGTAGGGCTGAATGGCCACAGCTGTTTCAGTGTGAGCAGCCACTGTGATCTGACAGCTTTTAAAGAAAATTTGAGACACATACCACCATACGTTTTCACTGGTTCTCTGAGTGAAAGGATTTGTACCATTAACCTGAGCCAGAAATCATGTGGCCTAGTATAGCATAACCATTGCTGCATCCATTAACCTCAGTCTGCTCCATGCATCCTTGTTGCCAGGCGGTTATAATCTAGAATGCATAGATGGATGGAAGTGAAGGTTTGAATAAAATAGTTGTGGTATATATACTAATGTGTAGAACGGGTTACAGCTTCTCTAGGGTCTAAATAATCTAGGGTTTAAATAGCCTGAGCTTCTTGACAGAATAAATAAGGTGGACATTTCACAGGGATCTGGTAATAGGAGGCTAATACGTAGTGTTGAATATTGCTGGAATTTGTTGAATATTGCTGGAATTTGGCCAGAATTCTTGGAACTTCTGGAGGTGTTCCCCCCCCCCCCATTATTTCAAACTGTGAATAAAACCAAAAAGAAACCGGGGTGGGGAGGGGGAAGCATGACTTTATTTGAACTTTGGATGGTACTACACTTTGTATAAGAACTTTTAGTGTAGCAGCATAAAGTATTTACCCTTTCCTAGCCATCCTAGTAAAATGGTAACAGAAGGAAATTAATAAAAACATTTGCATCCTGATCAACCTGTAAAGTTAATGATAACTTTATGGAACAGTTGTCTCTGTGCTGTTAGCAGTAGTTTATTTTTTAAAAAAGAACTTTATACTGTGAAATACTCAGAAAACTGGCTGAATTATTCATCTCTTCATGAAAAGACAGAAGTATCACATGACTATTTGACAGTTTCTCAGTTCAGGCATGTAGACACAAAAGGTAAAGTGTTTGTATATTGCCTCATTATGAGAAATCTGATCAAATTAGGAATTTTTGAAGATGGCAATCTGTGTTTGCTCTGTAGCTTTAAGCATGGTGTTTCTTGACTAAAGATGTAAAGCATGTTATTGAGGACCCCATCTCTCAGTTACTTCTGATTTATCTGCTGCACAATAAGAAGCTACTTGATGGATTAGTTGGCTCTTTCTTTCAGTGTAAATAATTAATACTTAGTAGTTGTCTATGGGGGGGGAAAGATAAAATTTTGATATACAACTCTTTTTTTTTTTTTTGAATAACCTGCATGATTTGTTTATTAGACTATATCATAAAGGTGAAATACTTAACTTTTTGTTGTTATACTGAAGAAATTGCATCTTTCTTTTTCCAGTGTCAAAGCTCCTTTTTCTTTAAACCTCCTGCTATCAGGAAGTTACATAGTTTGATGACATAGGCTGGTAAATGCATGGTATAGAATCTTATCTATTAATGGTGCGTAAAATAGACCACTGCATAGGAAGAAGTAGTAATGGAGCTACTAATACATGCCTTTGTCTGAAAAAGTTGTGAATCTGATGACACAGTCATAGACTAATTTTTCTTGAAAATCTTCTTTCTTATTATAGAAAAGGTCTTTGGAATAAATTAACACTGAGAAAAAACAACAAGAAAATGAATGTTGCTGTCAAATTCACATGGTTGTGCCTAGTAGCTAGTGACAGCATATGTTGTTTTGAGGTGGGATTATATGATAATTGTTCTTAATTTCTATGTGACTAAATGTGGGTGATTAAAAACCTTACATATTTAAATGTTTTACTGTTTTAAGAAGTTTATTTCTATTTGGAGAACTGTTCAACTTCCTGTGCATCTTAAAATCTGGCCAAAGTGGTCAGTGGCTTATGCTCATAGCATTCTACTCTTACAAAATTTTCCTTAACACTTTCTTGAAACTAAGCTATTGCTTTTTAATCGTAATAAATGTGCTATATAATTTAATGTCATTCCAGTATATGGAAAGATTTTTCCCAACTTCTCTAATCAAAAACAAACAAACAAACAAACAACAACAAAAAAACATCCCGTATAGTGTCAGTTCTTTTTGTTCTCTGAAAAGTTGCCTTTTATATAGGTTTATTGCTTGCTTCTTACCATCCATGCTACAAAAGTTCAATTATGAAAAAGCATAACCTATGTAGCTGACTGAAGTTAAAGAGGAGATAGATGTTCCTTGGTTATTTTGCAAAGGGATCTATGTCTTTCACTGTAAATGCACTAGCTACTTTCTGCATGGATGAAAATAAATTGCTGAATTGCAGAGATTGATTAGATGTATCCTTTAAACAGGATTGGATTATATCTTTCAGGTGACTGTAAAAGGCATCTAGAAAATCTTCTTCCTTGGATTCTGTGTGATTTATATAACAGCTATTAGTATCTTTCCATGAAGATAAGAATAGTCCAGCAAGTTGGCTTTAAAGATTAGAAAACAACTATAGTTTTAGAATGCCTTAAGTGATTGCACTCATGTGAGGTGGGATTTCTGTAAAGAAATTCTTTTAAAAATACTATTACTACTGAAGAAAATAAATAGTACTGTGAAAGTCTGAAATAAAGCTGCCGGATCTGTTACTATTCTTTTGTAATTTTTTATGTGCGAGTCATCTGTCTGCCACATCTCATTCTCTCTGTCAGTATTTAAGCAGTGGATTTGTTTGAGAAAGTGATGGAGTTTTTTGAGCATTTACTGAGGCAGTGTCTCTACTGATTTGTACTGTTGTCTTTCTACTTCTTTCTTGTGGCTAGAGGGAAAGGAGAATTAAAAGAGGAATTAAAAACTTTGTGTTCAGCTGCCTCATTAAGTCCACAGTGCACAGAAGAACCTTGGGAAAGTTGAGACTGCTCCCCTCAAGTGTTTCATTAACTTCAGTGAAACTGTGATTTGCCCTTAACTGTTCTGTAGCTGGATCACTTAAAAGAAGCATCAGAGCTATTTGGAAATCTACATAGATAGAAAATCACAGTTGTGGTCTGCATTTACATCCGTATATGAAGAAGCAAAATGGCAGAGCAGCCATTTACAATTTAGAACAATATTCTCATTGTACGTCACAGCCATGTTTTCTGTGTGTAGTTATGATAGTAAACCTGATCTTCAAGGAAATTCCTAGAATTTTGTATCTCTAGTTGCACTAAGATCTCAGTCACTGGGCAGTCCAGTTAGGGCTGAAATTTTACAAAATGCAATTTTGTAAAGGAAACAGTGTCCTGTTCTCTTCAGGACACTAAATGAGTCTTCTGTGGTTACATCTTTTTTTGATGTTTTGATGTTTCAGAAGCCTTTCAAGAAAAGCTGAAAATTAGTAGCAGATACTGCATGCAACTTTAATTCTAGTTTTCTTTTAGATGATGCATGCATTATTATGCGTATAGTTGCTGTGAGCCACTAATATTCTGATCTGTTAGCAAGTTATTTATCAGAATTTCTTGATATTCTTTTATGCAATTAGTAGGTTTCTTTCATCTGTTCTGCCATGGTGGAATGATGGTCTGACTGTGAACTTGTCTGTAAACATGAATTGTATCAAGCCACTCAATTCTCATACTAAATTCCTAAATTCCATGAGGAATTTATTTTTTTGTATGCATGCGTGGATTAGAACTTGTGTTTTCAGAACCAAAGTTGTGTGTTTATTGTCTCGCTATAGCATCTCTGTGTTCTGCATCTGGTGGTTCTGGTAGTATGCTGTGATCAGAGAAAAAGTGTCTTTCACTGGAGCTCCTTTCAGCATGGGTACCGCTGTGAGGAACAAGTCTTTGTAATTGCTGCTCTCTCTGCATGCTTAGCTGATTAAGTGTATTTTGTTGTATCTTGCCTCACTCAACATGTTCAGACCCTTTGTCTGATTTGTAACCGACCTTTCAGCTGCAGGACTGACATGTTCACTCTTTTATCCGATGTGTTAGAGGGAGAATTGGGGGACCACTAAGTGCAAAGAAGCCCAGTGAAGACTGTTTTTCTTCTGCCTTCAGGCTAGTTCCAAAGTTCTTGCTGCGGGAGAGCAGCAGCAGACACCCACTCCTGATGAGGTCTGATGTTCTGTGTGCTCTGAAAGTAAAAATGGAGACTGTAGGTCATACAAAGTGTAGGGAGATGAGCCCTTCTTCGGCCTTTAACTTGGGGAGAGGGAGAGAACTTTCATTTTTCTTCTCTTTTTTTTCCACTCTCTTTTA